ACTTAAGTTCACACCAAAGAGTCGATGGACAAAGTCGACAATTAGGGAATACCTCAGTCACCGAAACCGGAATCGCATGACCTCATGACTTCATTCTTTTTCTGCAAGCGAAATTAAGAAGCGTTAGACACGCACCTATATAAACACCCACTCAAGAAAGTAGCTATGTAGTCTCTCACATACCGCAGACGAGAATGTAAGATCCACGTTAGTGAGCATGGGTGACGAGACTGCCCCAACTTCTACTGGCCGAAAGTTACAGGTGAACTCACGAGGTGAATAAAATGTAATGGTATGTTAAAATAGATTACGTCTTGTGCTAATCGGATTATTATTAATCAGCACATCGATTCCATTAAACTCTGAACGCCTGATATTGACTTTTCTATAAAACACTGTTTGACGGTTCGTTTGGTGCTTGTATAATGTGTATAGATTCAGAAGTAAGTGAGAATATCTATTTATTGCAGTCCATTCCTCATCTCTCTACCTGTGTGTGTGCATAAATATATATATATATATATATATATATATGAAAAAATATAGTCTTAAGGTGTGCTATATTTATGGGATAAAGTGCTCAATATCAGAGATAGAGTGTGTGTAAATATGATATAATATAAATGTGTGGCCTGACGGTTTGTGTCTGGCATGAAACAGACTGTCGCCTCTAAGTGTTGGCTTAATGTTTATATATATATATATATATATATATATATATATATATATATATATATATATATATATATATATATATATATATATATATATATATATATATATATTGCTCTCCATTTCTGATGTATCTATCTATCTACCTATTTGAATCCCCTCTGCCCAAAGGGATAGGTTCGAATCTCACTAGGGAGCGAATATTTTTTTCTTTAATATTCAGACCGGTAGACGAAAATACATAATATACTGTTTAGTAAATACTCACATATGAGTATCCACTAAAAATGACGTTTGAAGTGATAAAATCTGTCGGATGAATAAATAAAATATCCATTACTTCTTTATATATCTATATATATATATATAGTCCGTCTGAAGTTATTATGCAAATCACATAAACCTCAATAACTAGAGTTTGCATTGAACAATTAGTATCAAATTTTAAATGATTAATTTAGTCTTAAAAAACTACAGTTTATTTTTTACGTAGTTGCAACATGTATTATTAAAATTATTCAATATGTTACAAAACCACAGTCTGAAGTTATAATACAAAACTAGAAATTCAGTTTTTAACTTCAATTACAAGACAATAAAATCATCAAAAATTGATCGACACTTAGAACAAATAACAAATATATATAAGTCTTTGAAGCATTTACATCTTAATATATGGACCTTTCTTCTAATAACATTATTTTCTTCCCGAGGAGACAAGTTTTTCTATTGTTTCTAGTTCCCACCTTAGTTATATTTTCAACAGTTTTCTTTAAGGTTCGACAATCTCCACGAAGCTCCTTTGATATTTCTAATGTGGACATTTCCCCACTTCGTTATTTTCTCTTTTTCAGCATTTGTTAAAGCCTTTGCATTACCCATGCTTTAACATATGTAAAAAAGGGTTTATTAGATTTCAGAAGCCTTAAATTAATATTAGTTTAATCTGCATAATAATATAATAAATTTAGTTTAACTTGCATAATAACTGTAGTTTTTATAATAAATTCAATAACTTTCATAAAACATGTTGAAACTTCATAAAAAATTAACTCAAAGTCAAATAAATAATTTAAAATTTGACAAAAATTCGTCAAAGCAAATTCAAGGTTTATGCGATTTGCATAATTTCACACGGACTGTATGTGAAGATCTATCTATCTATCTATCTATCTATCTATCTATCTATCTATCTATCTATCTATCTATCTATCTATTGTAGTCCATTCCTTATCTATCTATCTATCTATCTATCTATCTATCTATCTATCTATCAATATATCTATCTATCTATCTATTGTAGTCCATTCCTTATCTATCTATCTATCTATCTATCTATCTATCTATCTATCTATCTATCTATCTATCTATCTGTCTATTGAACTCCATTCCTTATGTATGTATGTATGCATGCATGCATGTATCTATCTATCTATCTATCTATCTATCTATCTATCTATCTATCTATCTATCTATTGAACTCCATTCCTTATGTATGTATGTATGCATGCATGGATCTATCTATCTATCTATCTATCTATCTATCTATCTATCTATCTATCTATCTATCTATCTATCTATTGTAGTTCATTCCTTATCTATCCATCACATCTATCTATCTATCTATCTATCCATCTATCTATCTATTGAACTCCATTCCTTATGTATGTATGTATGCATGCTTTGTGTGTGACATCTATATATCTATCTATCTAAATGCATCTATCTATCGGTATTCTATCTATCTTCTATCTGAATCCATTTATCTAATCTATCATCTATAATCTATCTATCTATTGAACTCCATTCCTTATGTATGTATGTATGC